CTTTCTCTGGCCAAGAAGAAATTATTCATTCTTAAAAGCCTTATCCAAGCTTTTTTTACCTCCCACTGAGATTTTGCTACGTGGGGCGTTCTGTGACATCTGCGTCCGTCCCTTTTAGTTTACTTATGGCTATTGCGTATTGGTTGCCAAGGCGGCCTGTACTGTGGCCCTAACCCAAAGTTGAATTATCAGGCTTGTTACACGCGTTAGATGGGAACTACTTAATGTCAGCTAATAAGCCTGCTTTCATCATCAGCTTTATTGATGTTGTTGTTTTTGTCAGAACGTGGTGAGTAGGGAAAGGGACGATGAGGCAAATTCCGTAAAAGTCCCCCTCACTGCAACTCAGTTAATGGGCCATTTATAGCCGTGCCCATGGGACATTGATAGACTTTATGGACCATGATGGGTGAACTGTCAGTTGATCATTGTGCTCATTCCTCTATTCCCCTTTTTTTCCCAACCAGCCCCCACCACAGCCAGGTGGCCTGGTGGTTCAGGTCGGCAACAAAACAGACTGCGCTCTTCTCGGATTTGTCAACAGTCTGGGTGGCAACTACGAGACTATTCGACAGGAGTGGCCTGAAGAACAACTCTACAAGGTCTATACATTCAACTCTGTGCGGAAGTCCATGAGCACCGTCATCCGAGACCCCAAAGGTGGCTTTCTGATGTTCACAAAGGGCGCCTCCGAAATGGTGGTAAAAAGGTAAATCCGGTTATCTTCCGTTTGATAACCTTCTACCTCATACTGTTTTGCAAATTTGTTTTTTTTAAATATTCGCTTGCCATTTCTCATTCCCTCCCGAAAAAAATCATCGGCGGAGCGAGAGAGAGAACGAGAGAGTGAGCACCCAGGTCTGCAGTATTCATAGGATGCTGTTTCAATACGGCCACACATCGGCTACTATTAATAGTTCGCACATTAACGCAGAGGTTCCTGTTGTTTGCGATGCTAAATAGTCCTCCCACGTCGGAGACGAAAATGACTAGAATTAAATTATATGTGTTGGGGCCTTGACTCTTTCTCGACTGCATTCAGGAACTTCGTTTTTGCGTTTCAGCATTACCCTTCCTCTGGTATTGCGTACATTTAGTTACAGCCGATCTTGTTGGCATTTATGTACGCTTCACTTTCAGAGGGACTGGAGATAATATCACAACGCATGACATTTGCCGAGTAAAGTAAAGCAGCAAATAGTATACTATTCAAATAGTGCGTAAGAAACAGTTGCTACCGCCTCGTGTTTTAAAGTTGCAGCTTTAAATCCGCTTATCCCCACCCCTGGTTCAGGATTCCCTTATTTCTACTCTGTCGTGTTTATCTGGATCGCAGGGTTCAGAAACCAGTGTTCCTTTATATTTCACCTAGTTCTGCCGAGATCCTAGCACTAGCGCGTGGGCAACTGCTTTGGGTACTTATTGAAACACCTAGTTAATTCATACAAAAAAGTTTCGATCTGCTCTAATAACAACTTTATGACCATCGAGGTACTGGTCGTAGGAGTGAATGACAGGTGCAGTATTTTTACGGCGAAATGGTTCTACCTTTGTTTGGTACAGTGCACTCCTTTGTGCAGTAGAAGGCGGTTTAGCCTATGAAAGGAAATAAAGGCAGTCGACTGAACTGCCTCTTACCATTTTTAAACGGTACTTATGACATGGTTTTTCTAAATCGGTAGATAGCCCAATCAGTTGCAAATTTCCTTTTCACCTCCATTTGAATGGCCTTAATCGTAATCGCATATGGCTGCGGGCGAAACGATTTTTCAAAAAGCGTCTTCGCACATTGCCTGTATCGCCCACCTCCGTAGTCAATTGAATTCAGTTTTCTTTCACTCTATCTCCTTCCTCCTCAGCCTCTCGGCAAATCAGTAACCTTATTCTGACCCCATATTTCAGGCGTTTTGTCTTCAGTTGCCCTGACTGAGGACTTCAGTTGTCCTTCCTTTCCTCCCGTCGTTTGTTGATGGTGATCGGTTATGTCGTACACTAGTGACCTCGTTTTGGTCAAATTAATTCCATTAATTTTGAGTTCTTCTCTTACGGTAAGCCTGTTGAATTCTTCTTCCCTATTTTACGCGCACAGAGGTAGAGACGGGGAACGAGAAGAAAAAGTTTTTATTTCTTGTTCGTTCTTTCGAAATTCGCTGTCTACCACAGCCGCATCCCCTCTGCACTTTGCCTCTAGGGTGACTCTTCAGTCTGTAAAGATAAGTGAATATGCATGCTAGACGGCCTATTGCCACTATCATTAAGGGACGGTGCTGGGTCGAAAGGAGAGGACCCTAAGTTCTGACTTGCAATCCCTTACTAGAAGAATGTATTAGAGACGGCTGCAAGACTCCTGAAACCATTCGGGATCGGTGTGACTCATAGGCCGGAGTCAACCATCAGACAGCAGATCATGAGGCCCAAAGACCCGCTACCTGTGACAGAAAAATCAGCTGTGGTCTACAGCATACCATGCACATACTGCACATCAAGGTATATCGGTGAAACGGGAAGACGCCTTCGCACAAGGTTGCATGAGCATCAGCTCACAATCAACCGCGAGTATAAGCTGTCTTCGGTCCATGACCACGTACAGCAGAAGAAACACACATTCGCCTTTGAAAAAGCA